GTCTTGAAACACTTGGAAATCCAAGTGTTTCCTATCAGTTTACTGCAATTGCTGCCATAAGACTTACAATTGTCGCCTTTAAAGTGACAGTAGCAAGTGTTTCAAAGTTCAAAGCAACATTTTTGTTAACCAAAACAATAACTTGGGGTATACATACATTATGTGAATATAATACACATTTAATAAACAAAAAAAGTGTAACATAAGCTAATACTCTAATAGTTTTGTGCAAATTAAAAAATACAAGCAATCATATTTCCAATAAACAATTATAAGATAAGTTTAGTTTTGTAATGGGCCAGCCTAACATTAAATTAAATGAATAAATAAAAAATAATAAAACAATCAAATATAATAACTTAAGATAATGAAATCCTCATAAAATACAAATAATTGAAATTATAACAAAATTTCACATCACTATAATTACATTCTAATCTAAAAATAAATCCAAATTCAAACTACCAGAGAAAGTTGGGAATTTTACATGTTATTTTGATTAGAATGTAATTATAGTTATTATATTTTGTTATTATGATTAGAATGTAATTTTGATAAGATATTTCTTTGTAATGCATTAATTAGACTCTACAAGTTAATGATTATTTATGACAAAATATTTATAGAGTAAAGAATATGCAAAAAAAAGTACTTGTTTCCCAAAAATTCAGCTATTTCCACATAATTATAGTTAAAGCCAAGCCAAGTAAGAGAGACATATTTTAAAGATCCTATAGTTAAGCATAAACCGAAGAACCATTCGCAAATGCAATACCAATGCACTAGCCAATTTCTGAATCACAGGAACTATACGCCTACTATTTAGTGTGTTCACTTAGGACACTCATGTTCTTATAAAAAACAATGTGGAGACAAAGTTGCAAGCAAAGCAGAGACTATGGGATAATTAGTAAAAAGTTATTCAAGTAATCATCCATCATGTAGTCCATTTTCATCCATGAAAATTATAAAGAATACTCTTTTATGAAGCAAACAAACTGGAAAGAAGAACATCACAAAGATGGCAATAACCATCAAAAGACAAGATAAACTTCATTTAAAGAACAAAAAAAAAAACAATAGGGCAGGCTTCCAACTAGAACAAAATCATTTTGTGTGAACGCATGCACAATGAGGCATTTGGTGTTTAGGATTCAACATTGCATAGATTTATTCTTTAATCTTTTATTTGATTCTTTCGAATAACAACAAAATTGGCATGATTCAAATGTGTTATAACAATAGTAGAGCATAGTAGTAGATAAGAAAATTTAAGGAAAAAAATAACCATTGAGAAGCATTTAGAAAATTAATAGAATTGATTCTCATCATCTTTATCTAAATGACTAGATCTTCTTTTGCACTAAATGTCAAAATATTTATGGGTAATTTATTGTGACGTTGACTGTAGAGTAAAAGAAATGCAATGGTTTTAATTTTTAGGTATTTGATTGAAAGTATAACAAATGCAAAGAAAATTTGTTAGGAATTTTTATATCTCATCTGGTTCATTTTCAATGTATTCCAAATTCGAACAAATCAAATGAATTAAGAATATACAAGCTCACAAAGACTCTCACGGCCTTGCGCTTTCACCCTCCATCATCATGATCATCATGATCTCGTGTCTCCACTCAGAGCTCTCACGGCCTTGTGGCGGACCTCATGCCTCAACAAAGAGCCCGCTTGCAAACATAATGACAACCTTGCACATACCCTGTGACATCGCAACTCCGCTCCCAAAACCCCCATCTCACATCTACCAAGTACCGACTTTGCCTCCACCGTCACCACCGCATCTCCCGGCATTCTTTATCGAGAATGATTTTGATGCGATCCGCCTTCCGCCAGCTGAGGGAGGGCGGGCGACCCCGCGGCGCGCGGAAACAGCCGGAACGGGCGCCGCATCGGCGCGCCCGTTCGATCCGCCGAAGCAGGTACGCGGAGCGGGACGGGGGCCATTCGGCTTGAGCGGAACCGGTCCATTTCTGGACCGGTTTGGCTCAGGTCTAGCCTGAGCTCAGGAGGTTCATTTTGGGCAGCCCACTAGTGGATTTTGTTGGTCTTTTGGCTTGCTATAAGTAAGGAATAGAGGGAGATTTCTAGGGCATGCATGATTTGAGTTTTCTCTTAGCCTCCTTAGTTTCTTTACCTTGTTTTTCTAGGGTTTGTAGTGGGAGACCTTGTCCTTCTCGAAGTGGACAAATTGTATCTTGTTTCTCTTGGATTTTGAATGCAAAGTTTCTTGTTCTTCCTCTCATCCCTCTTGTGTTGATTTTTTTCTTGGATTTGGAGGAGAAATTTCATATTTGGAAGAGCATTAGGGCAATCCCTAACTTGGGAACCCTAAGGCGTATCAGATTTTTCTATGTTTTTGAAGTTCGTCAAAAAAAAAAGAAAATTTAATTTCATTGCATCAAAATTATATTCGATCAAACAACACCAAATTCAAAATGAAGGGGATTTCTTTTACTTTGTATTTGGAATACATCCAACCAAACAGCTCCATAGAAAATAAAAAAGTGTGAAAAAAGTCTGCTTGTTACCCAGCAATCCAGCTTGTTTCACATAATTAGCAGCTAAAACCAAACAAAGTTAAAGAAACATATATCAACGATCACACAATCAAGTATAAAAAGGCCTCATTTGCTGATGCAGTACTAGTACACTAGCAAATTTACCCATCACTGGAAGTGAAGAGCACGTTATGTGTGAGTAAATGCGTTGCACATCATGTTCTTGTAACAAAAAAAATGCAGAGGTCAACCCAACAAAAATAGGGATTTTCAGCAACTCACTTAAGGAGTGAACCCTTGTGCCAACAATGTGGAATTCAGCAAATCATGGCCCATGCAACAGTTTGCAAAAAGGGATTCAAGTAATCATCCAACATGCAGTCTATCCGTTTTACTCATGAAAATTATAAATTGTTAGCTACGAGACCACAAAAAAAACAAAAAACAAGAAAGAGAATATTACCAAATAAATACCATAAAAACAAAAAAGAGAATATCACCAAATAAATACCATTAAGGAGAACAAAAAATAATAACCACCATTTAGAAAAACTTCTTCATCAAAACCTTGAAGAATGTAAGCAATATAATATTAAGGTTCTCTATTTGATAAGTCAATGACTATCGAAATGAACCTGCGATTCACTTGAAATATCATCACTCCAGTCATCCACTTCCTGTTTACAAGAAGAAAACAATGGCACATCAAGAAGAGAAACATGCTAGCTGGAAGTCTTGAGCAACTAATCGTCAGAAAATTCTACAATTATATGTGTTTGACTATCGATGAGCAATAAATCCTCCAAAGTGTAAGTGCACAATAAAGAGAAGTGTGCACCTGCACATATGAAGGAGAAGAAATAAAAATTGAAATCATCCTACCATGATAAAAAGTAAAAAAAAAAAAAAGTATCAGTAACTATATTGATTAATGCAATTAATATTTAGTTAAGTTGCCACTAATTGCACCGTGTAGATGTAACATTAGCAAATTATTCATTACATCATGCGAGTCAGTATGATAATGACATAGGGCACCATTCCAAGTTTGGCACGCACCTGAATTATGAACTAGTTCAACAGTGCAACTTGTCACTCTACACCATTCCAAATTTGGCCTGCATCTGAACCATGAAAGAAGTTTCTACTGTGCAACTTGGTAGATTGTTTTCTCTAAACCAAGCTAGTTTTACACATCTTATCTTATACAAGAAAGCAACCCTATGTGCAAAACCATGCTAGTTTTAATCATGTCTATCTTATACAAGAAAGTAACCCTATGTGCATGATCCCTAAAGTATGGTGAAACAAAACTCTTAACATTGAGGCATTCATAATGTATCAGTTGTTACTTCATTAGAAACTCTAAGAGTAATTATGTTGAGCACTCTTAGGAAACGTGCCTTATGAGAAAATTGCAGCAAAAGAAAAAAATCAAGGATTTTTAAACCAAAGAAAATAATATCTCAATAGATAGAGTTCAGATTTTGCCAAATGATATAAGCATAAAACATCTGGAAGACGAGAACAGTGCCAATGACATGCTTATACCAATTTATAAATATAAAAAACTTCATACACTGATCAAGCCAAACATTGTCTTGAACAGAAAAAAGATTTCCTTTTTTTACAGGTCATATCAATTTATCATCTGATACCTGAGACCGCTTTTTCATGGCTGCAGTTTTAGATCCTGTCCCTGCATGTGACAGAAATCAAATGTTATATAAATTTGAATTGCAGACTGCCCGAAGCACAGAATAATGAATTTTAACTATCTTAAATGCATACTATTGTATGTTAACTATATTGAGGTTGGCCTTCAAATTTCCAGATTCATAACATCAAGCAAAGAACTTTAAAAAAATAGTCTATGGTTTTCAATGCAGATTGAACTTAAAAATTATATGAAACAACAATTTGGAGACCAGATACCCACCACTCTTTCCACGAGACTTCTTGCCTTTGTTGCTCGAAGTTTTCACCTGAAAAAACAAAAAAAGAAAATTAAACCCTGAAAAAACGCCTTAGCTTCCAAAGACTGACTTTCATTGACAAGCTGTGCAGGTACCAATTAAAAACATGGCCAAAGTCATGTATCGTGCGGTAAGCTGTTTGGGTATGTAGTTGGTTTCACATTTTTAACCACAGTGCAGTAAATTAGCAGAAAAAGGATAGAAAAAATAGAAACTTCACACAATAGGTCAGGAACCAATTTTCAAAGCAACATTGTGCATGAGAAGTTCAAGCCATTGAACAGCACCAACGCAAATGTACAACTTTGATGCTTTTGTCAATTGCACAACTTCGGACATCACAGATGCATCCGAGGGTCGTTTAGCTTCAATGCTCAATAAACAAAATGAAATCAAATGGAGCTGTGATTAGTTGAAGCACACTCCATAAATGGTCGCACAAACTAATTATAGATGCAATTTAAAAATTTATTATGCCAAATCAATTAAGTGCATAAATATCAAGTTACATTTTAATTATAATTATGCAAAATAATGGTGTTATCAAGACACATACAGTCAATAATATGAAGGTTAAACTATAATAACGGCAGATTTGAAAGTTAAACTTGTTAACAAGCAAGACCTTTCCTGAAAAAAAAAATTTAAAAATAAATACACTTAAGAAGATACAAATCAATAATCATCATTAGCTTTATCCCAAATATCTGGGTAAATTTTATGAATCATAATTTTCACTTATTATTGAGTGATGCCAAGATGCTAAACATACTCTTCGCAAAGCATTTTGAGCAACTTCTATCTTAGATCCAATATATATTTCCTAATCATCTAGCACTAATTTTACTAATTAAAATACTGCATTTCTACCATTCATTGTACATGCTTAAACCACTTAAGTTTATTTTTAATCACATTATCTTTAATCAAAATCACTCTATCAATAACTTCTGAATTCATCCTTCAAGTTATATTATCAACACTCAGATCCACACAACATCTTCCACTTAATTGTGTGATGTAGAACTATATAGGCAAGTGATGTCGAGTTGGAAATTACATGTGCTTGAACAGAGCTTAACAATTTCTTAACTCACAATGAACTTAAGCTTGCAAGGAGGCAATCAAGTTCACGCAAACAATCACATGCTAATAGGAGAACCATTAAATAACAAATTAATTAATAACATGTTCACATGATGTTTCAGAGACAATCCCTAAGTTAACAAATAGAATGGTTACTACCAAGGGCCACTCACGCAATGCTCTGGGTGTGGGCTAAACGGACAAGCTTTCACAATAAAATGATGCCACAATTGAGGAGGGATCAAAAAGGTACAGGGGGAGGGGGAAGAGTTTACCCGCATGGAAGAAGATACTAAGCCACGACAAAGTCGTTTGGCTGCCTATGTGGAAATGAAAGCAATATGAACCCTGTTGCACGCTTGGATAGCACTCTAACGTCTCTGAAAATCCTGGGCAACAAATAAGTGGGCGCCAAATTTTGGGACATGCCGAGACAACTGGTAGTGGGGCTAGAAAATACTCTTCAGTCTAAGGTGATTAGTGAGAAGTGATCTTGCTATCGAGAAGAAGACATTAGAATGGCAAGTTACGTCAAAGAAAATATTTTAGAAAATTTATGATGGGATCATATCGATTATATTTTAATTTTTACTGATCCAATTTATGATATGTTGAGAGAGGCTGGCACAAATAAATTATGCATATATTTCATTAATGAGATGTAAGACTCCATGTTAGTTAAAGTGAAAGAAATTATATATAGATATGAAGACTCAAGTTTTTGAAGCATTATCTATACTATTATTGAGGATAGATGTGGCAGAAGTAACATACCTCTTCATCGTTTGGCTCATTCATTAAATTCAAGGTAAATTTAAATATATCATTTAAATTAGTTTTTAATTTGTTGGCTAATGAATTAATAATTTTACTTTCTTTGTATTCTTTGAAGATATTCAAGTAAATAATGGTTTCAAGAAGACCCTCAATCTGTCTCGCCACAAAAAGATTTAGAAATTTCAAATATGAGAAAAATATGTTTGAAACATAATTTCCCAAATGAGGAGAGAAGAAGGATTAATATAGAACTTGCGAAGTTCTTCAGATATTTCGATGTTTTTGGTGATCAAGAATATTTGATTGATAGATGGATGATGGATCCAAAGATATCGTGGTTGATTCATGGAGCTTCAACACCACTACAAACAGTAGCAATAAAACTTCTTGGTCAAGCTTCATCCTCCTCTTGTTGTGAGAGAAATTGGGGCACATACTCATTCATTCAATCGATGAAGAGGTACAAAATTACTCTACAACGGGTTGAAAATTTAGTTTATGTGCATACATATCTTCGTCTGCTATCAAGAAAAACCCACTTTATATGATATGTGATAATAAGATGTGAGAAGTTGGAGATGAATTCAAGTCCCTTGATGATATGGAAATATTGGAGATTGCAAATCTTTCTCTTGATGAACCAGAGTAGGAAGCGATAATATTCAATGATGATGATATTGAAGGCCAAAGACAAACCTCTGAAGCTAATCTTATTATTCCCTTTACTGAGCAATTGAAGCTTGATGTTGTACTAAATGATTTTTTACTTATATTTTTGTGATTATACTATATATTTTGTACTAAATATTTTATATTATAAGCTAGAAAAATTATTATGACATTGATTCCTTATTGTTTGTCATTTATAATATGATGTTGCATTAATTTCTAATTTTCTATACAATATATAAAAAAATTATAATGTTGTATCCATGCCATACCCATGTCCTATATTTAAAAATATGTCATGTCGTGTCCGTTTCGCCGTGTCTGTGTCCATGCATCATAGCGCGCTACTGCTCGCCTCTATTACCATTTTCCTTATGGTCCAACCACAATTACAATCTCTACTTTCTGCATTCGCACATGCTAAACTCGTATATGTGTGATGGGTACCGCAGCAAGTGAGCTTTTCTTTTGTATAGCATTGAAGCAAGAAATTGAGTATTTGCTGGAATTGGCATTTGGACTTCGGAAATTATTATTTTTGTTGGACTTCAGGTAGGATGAATAAAACTATAGGACAAAATATAAAGGCTTATGATAAATTATTAATTTTGCGTTTTTATCTTGATTCTCGCGTGAAGGTTTGTTAGAAGCATATTCATCGAGCGCTTCACACATTTTGACAGCCAGCTCCAATGGCGAGTCAGCTTACATTAGTATAAGTTTGGGTCTTCCATCTGGGTGATTTTTATCCTTATTCATTATGTTAAATGGTTTAATATTGTTGTGCGTGGATGATTAAAATTTTGTAAACTGTTCTAAATTTCAGATTCCTATTAGTTGTATGAATTTTAATCTTTAATGAAAGTTTATTTTTTTGCGCACAATTTTTCTTGTAGGATTTCAATTTTTGACAATAATCACAATATTGCAATATATGAAAGAAATGTGTTATTTATTTTCTAATTAAAGGCAACTAATTTTTACAAAATTTAAGAGTTGATAACCAATGGATTGTAGTTTTTTTATGGCTCAAGTGTGCATCTCATCTTAGGTTGCACTAGCAAGACCATCATCATACAGCAGTATCTCATTTAAATTAAAATTCATGCATATATGCATCTTATTCAAAGCTAATTACAATTCAAGATACTATTATTTTTTAGTTTAAAAAAAATCTAACTAGATCAGAGTCTATTAATCTCTTCTCTCTGGACATAACTAATTTATATAATCTCATTTTTGCCTTCCTTAGTATCAAACGGCTGTATTAATCATCAAAATTTATAGCTAAAACAATGAAAATTTGATATATTTATAATTAAAGTATATTTTGTTGACACAATAGTTCTGACGATAAAAAAATATATGATTGGTGAATCAAAATGCTTCATCTTAAGCGATTTCAAGGCTATGTGATGGCATTTCTTTTATGTTTCACATTAAGCTTCAAAAGCGTGCACTTCAATGTGCATTACATAACACATCTTCGTACATAATTTAACCAAAGAAAAGATTAACAAGGTTCCTTACCATCACTGCATCAGTCTTTTCCATTGCAAGAAGCCGCTGCCTCTTACCACTAGGACCTGGTAGTATTAAAGATGACCATAATAAAACAAGCACATATTTATCTGTCTTGAGCTGACTTTAAGGATTTAGCAGAATAAAAAAATGAACCTTCAAGAAAAGCTTTCTAGAAAAGTTACTTTTTGTCCCAAGAGTATCATCCAAAGTCCGCTTAGATTTCTGAAAATATTAAGATAAAAATTAAATTAAACAAAAAAATTATAAAGCAAAAAACAGAAAG